TGATTTTTTAACTAAGATGTATAATGCTCTCTTATGCTTACAAGATATTCTTATGCCTTTCGTTATCCAATTATTAGAGTCTTTCTTTTTTTTATATACTATGGGAAAGCTATTTTCAAAGATTGATAAAAAAATGTTGTGAAAGATATTAAATTTCATATTTACATTCTCTTGATTATAAACTTCTATCCAATTTTCATTCTGTAAAGCCCGTTGAAAACATACTATGTTTTCCTCATTAATGTCTCTATATGCTCTAACATGATCACTTTGCCTCATCACCAGCATGTCTCCAAGTATCAGAATTTGCCCATCGTGGTCCGAGAGACCATTTATAGCAGAACAAACTTGGAATTTGTTATAAGCATTCTTGTCTATAAAAAAATGATCAATCAATGAGACAGAAGTAGTACTTATTCTAGTTGGAAACTCAATTATTTGTGTTAAATTATAAGTATCTAATAAAGCTTGTAATTGTACTTTTTTACAGTTTTCACTAAGGTAATTTATATTCGTATCACCACAGATTATTGGTTCCAATTTAAGGCTTACTAGATATGAAAGTGTGGAATCTAGCCGCTCGATAAATTGACATATATCTCCATCAGGCGCTCTATAAATACATAAAATACATAATTTCCTATTATTTAAAATTATCTTTACAGCACAGACTTCGAAAACCCTTTCCATACTTAAATTTTTGAGATCTAGCTCTTGATATGATAAATCTTCTTTAACTAAAATACATACTCCACCATTCTGACACATGTTACGTGAGAACCCTGCTGCCATTTTATATTTTGTCATAGAAAATATGGATAACTCGCTTACACTCAGATGGTGCTCACTGATACATAAAATATCAGGATAATTACATGCATCATTTAGAAAAATGTCTAGTTCTTCTTTCTTATTTCTTATGCTTCTTATATTTTGATGATAAATTACAAGTGAAGTCCACTGCCTATTATTATCCACCTTATTCTTATTATAAATCATTCCCATAAAAAATCCTTATTTCTCGCAGTTGGGATCTTTCGGGAAGGCGTTCCCGGAGGAGCAGTTTGTTCTGCAACTCTGGCTATCCTCTGCTCATCCACGGAATGATCACTGCTTGGATTATCATGGACTCCCACTTGATTCAGACAGGTATTCTCCTGAGACATCAGTAAAATCGTAGCATGATTTGCTACATTAGACTCTATGGCCCCATCACCCACTAACTGTTCCATGGTGTTCCTTCCACAACCATTCCCTTCAACAACCTCAACACCAGACGTCTGCTTTTCATTTAAATGGCTCTGCATTTCATCCAGATAACTCCACTTTAATACAATTGGTTTCGAATCGTTAGCACTAAACAAATCCTTTATCACTGAAGCTACTCTTCTTGCAATATGTTCTTTCCCTTGAGAATTTAGATGATAACCCTGTCTTGTGAATAACTCACGCGTAGAGTCTACTGTTACCACTGAAAGATTAGAATATGCCCTTTTTAGTTTTTCAAGTCTTCTATTAAACAGTTGAACTTCACAATTTACACAGGAATTTGGAGCGAGATCATGTCTATAAGGAACATTTATCACCACAACGTTTGTATGATTAAGAGAGCTAACAAACTCTTTTAACGCACGAATTCCCAATTTTGTCTCATTTCGGCCAACGTCCATTGAACCTCCCCACACAACACATACATCACTCATTGTTAAATTCTTCATGTCCGTATCAGAAATATTTACTAATTGTTCTAATGAAGATCCAGGTTTCACTACTCCCTGAGAGTTAAATTCAAGAGTAAGGTTATACTTTAACTCATTAGCCAAACCTCTTGCATGGCTGTCTCCTACTATTCTAATTTTATGTTTTACCTTATCCACATAATTACTATTATGGTTGTCTTTTGTAGTCTTCTTCATCTTCGAAAACCGTACATCATCTGGTTTCCTATTAGTTGCATTTGACAGGTTCACTTGGTTTTTGAGGTTATTCTGTTCTACTCTTTCATCATGCAAGATCCTAATTATTTTCTGAGCAGATTTCAGTTCCGTGAGTGCAACTTTCAAATAATCGGTCAACATTTGGCATTTTACACAGCTAATTTCCATACTATCACAAAAATCTTGTTCAGAAAGGCGTGAGGCAAAATCGAGAACAACATCAAGTTGCGTAGATATTACTGGAAGAGATCTCAGGAAAACTAAGATTTAGAATAATTTTACTGTCTGTGATAATTGTATAGTTTGGAAGCATTTTATTACAAACTGTGTTTGTACATACAAGAAAAATTTTTACTTGTAGAAAATATCAAAATATATATAAAATACTTTGTTGGTGGTGAACTTGTTTATTTGTGTGGCTCAAGATTTTATTATACCCATGTGAAAGCTTAGTTTAGTCCACCTCCTGTTTTGCTCAATCTTTGTGCTAATGTCTCATATCCATACGACCCGCCACATTAGCTTGTTTCCTGTCGGAAGCTCAATAATATGTATCTGATCAGTTTATTTCCACAAACTGAGCAAATCTGTAACATCACTTGAAAGTGGCAATATATGGGCAACGTCAGTTTTATGTGAGATATGATAGTTTTGTGGTGGTGAAATTTTAGACTGTGGCTTTCTTGGTTATGACATCCTGCAGTCTGATAGATGGTTACCATTCTTTTGGAGGAACCTACTGCCTCCACTTCTGTACCGAATTTGGGGGTCAGCAAATTCCTGTAAAATGTATCTAAACACCTATGAGACTACAGAGGTGCCATACGCAACAAGTCTACAATATAAAGGTCAATTTTAGTAGCTGTTTATATATGTATATATATATATATATCCCAAATGTATAAACTGTGAATGTGTCACAGTTTCATGTCGAAGGCCAAGTGATTACTGTGCAAACACTGTGTGCTGTTGGTAATACAGTCCGCTCACTGGATGCTCTCAAGCAGCACGGCTATGCCTTGCCCTCCTCCAATGCATGCGGAGCCAATGCCAAACTTGGCCTTTCTCCTCCTGGTGTAAACAAACAGTCTTATCAATTGCTTCTTATCTAAGTGACTTGTAACTAAATTACATAATCATAATAATGATGAAGGTATGCAGCAGACCTATCATGACAATGAGTTATTTCAAGATTTCATGCTGTGTCAGAGGGAAAGGTACATTAGTGTATGCTTACCTAAGCTCGTGCACGAGGTGTGTTGTTATGCGTGCTCCTGAGGCACCAAGGGGATGTCCCAGTGCAATGGCTCCCCCATTCACATTCAGCTTCTCCAGGTCTAGTTTCAGTTCCTTCTGACATGCCAGTGTCTGAGCACCAAAGGCTTCATTAATCTGCAAGGGATGATAGTTCCATCTTCATAAATACTTGAACATTGCCTGAATGTCTCAACGTCTTTCTTTACTTTCCATTCTCTACAAGTTCTCGATATGATAGATCATTTATTTGTATCATGACATGACAGCTGAAATCCAGTCTAATGCACTAGACTTGTATTCAAGAATTGCTGGGTTCGAATCACAACTGAAATACTGGCACTCCATACCTTAGATTTCTTGTGGGTTTCCTCAGTCCCTGCAGGCAAATTCTGGGTTACTACCTCAATCAGGCCACACACACACTTCCTTTCAAATCCTTTCCAGTTCATTACTAATCAATCATTCTATCATTCAGTGCTATACATTCTCAATATTACAGCGTCTTTAAATAACCAACCAACTATCCTTGAAGCAGGTGCGACACAGGGATCATATTTTATTTTTATATATGAGTAATGTAAAATGGGGAATAACAGATGGTAAGATCTGGATGAATGTTCTTCTCCTGCTGTCATGTTTGTCTGGAGGTTACAGTCTGATGTGAGTCACAGCAACACAGAACTGATTTGTTTTGTCTTTGTCTAACTACTAGGCATTCAACCAAACTGCAGACACATAATCTATGTAAAAAGTATACTTTTGACAAATCTGAACTATATCTCTGGGAAAAATAAAGAATAAGTACCAGCAGATGCCACACTGGTGCATGGAGAACATTGGCACATATGAGTTCTGAGGTACTCACAGCAGGTAATCTGAAGATTACCATCTTCTGAGATTTGACATTGTGTAATCTGATAGAAAGTTACCAAAACTTCAGAGAAAGCTGCTGCTACCACCTTCAGATTGGAGGATTGAGCCACAAGGTGAAGTTATGGTACAGATATAGGGAAATGGAAGTGGGCCAATGGGAGATAACACACTGTCAAGGGGCATGTTAAGTGGGCCAATGGGAGATAGCACACTGTCAAGGGGCATGAAAGTGGACCAATGGGAGATAGCACACTGTCAAGGAACATAATTTTTTCATTTTTAATAAACTAAGCAAGCAATGCAAAAGTGGTACATCACTTGATCACTTGAGCACATTATCCAGATGACAGCACACAAAGGAACTGGAGATCTAATTCCAAATCATGGAAACAAAATAAAGACAGTGTGTAAATTCTTATTTCTGTCCACTGAAGATGTAGAAGATATGAATGAGCTCACCTACTCCGTAAGCCAATGAACTTTGAAAGAGTTCCTATGCCAGGGCAATTGGCAACTATTCTGGAAACCAGTCTCAAGAATAAGTTCTCTCTCATCAGTACGTGAAGAATTTACCTCAACCAAGTCGATATCACTCAGTTTCTTTCCAGAGATCTTCAGAATCCTCTGAATGGCTGGAGCAGGTCCAATGCCCATGATAGTGGGCTCTACCCCAACAATGCTGTATGCTACAAGACGGGCCAGTGGTTTTAGTCCCAACTCATTGACAGCTTTTTCACTAGCAAGAATAACAGCACCTGCCCCATCACAGATACCCTGAAATTGCAAGCAGACATCAGGAGCAAGCCAACTGGGTAGAAGAATGACACAGACATGCCTGCTGTTTGTCATACTTACAGATGAAGATCCAGCCGTGACTACTCCACCCTTCTTGAACACTGTTGGAAGCTTGGCCAGTCCCTCAGGTGTGGTCTGGGGTCGGGGGTGCTCATCCACATCAACAACTTCCTCCTTTCCCTTCACTTTAATTGTAACAGGAGCAAGTTCCTCCTTAAAGTAGCCACTGTCATGAGCTGCAAGAGATGCTCACTCATTCCCTGTGTTCTGTCACATTTAATAGCATTAGTTTTTCACTGGCCTAGAACAGTGTTTCTCAACTTTTCCTTTATGATGTACCCCCTTTTTTTTAAAAAAAAAAAGTCTTTCAAGTAGCCCAAGTACCTAAAATGTTCAAACACACAATTTTCTCTACAACTGTGACACATCTGATTAAGCAGTTTTTAGTTTTCAGATACTTTGAATATAAGGTCAGCTGGGATATCTCACATGATACACGTACCGCCTGGGCTACAGGGTGTAAGACCAAAGAGTCAGGGTTGGGCTCCAAGCAAGAGATATTTCTCCTCTCCATATAATTTTGCCTCTAATTTTGTATAGGTGTGAAACTTTGTCTCTGACATTAAGGGAGGAACACAGACTGATGGCATTTGAGAACAGGATACTGAGGATAATATTTGGATGAAAGAGGTATGAAGTGATGGGAGGTTGGAGAAAACTGCATAAGGAGGAGCTTCATAACTTGTACTCTTCACCAAATATAATTAGAATGATCAAGTTAAGGATGAGATGCGCAGGGCATGTAGCATGCACAGGATAAGAGGAATGCATGCAGGTTTCAGTAGAAAAGAGACCACTAGGACTACCTAGTTGTATGTGGAATGACAATATAAAAATGGATCTTAGAGAAATAGGATGGGGTGGTATGGACTGGAATCATCTGGCTCAGGATAGGGACCAGTGGTGGGCTCTTGCAAACTCCTCTGGGTTATACAAAATGTTAAGAAATTCTGAAGAAGTTGAGCAACTGGTGGCATCTCAAGAAGGATTCAGCTCCATGGAGTTGGTTATACCATCCAGACCAATGCCAGGGCTCACCTGCCCTCCTAAGAAATTGGTACAGGGGGCTCTTTTCCCGGAGATAAAGCAAATGGGGTGTGAAGCTGATGACTCACCTCTCTCCACTACCAAGGTTAAGAATGTATGGAGCTACTCCACTCCCCATACATCTTCATAGCACGACACTTAATTCAGCACGAGGATAACTTTAACATGATCAAAGGTGATACAGAGCTCACTGAGAAACTGACTGTTATAAAGCTGTTGATATAAAACATGTGATGGTGGAGGGAAGGATCTGAGAGAGCTGGGAATTATTAACTGGAAGCAAAAGATGGATGGGAATGTATAAAGAGCTTTTGTCGAGACACCCAGGTCTCAAACATAACTCTACCATCAGGAAGAGAAAGAAGTAAAATGCCCTTACAGAATGGAGATGACAGCAGATGCAGTACATTATAATATCGCGACAACAGAAATCCTTTCAAACTTGCTTCAAGTCACATGTTAGCTGCTTTTACTTCTGTGTTTTAATGTCTTACTCTTTCATTTATAAACAGTATACACAGCATCAGAAGAAATGTTACCATGGGGTAAACTGTTACATGACACATTATGTTATTCACTGTAGCAACAGTAGTATCTGAGGTTCCTGCAGCAGAGATTATGAAAAGTTCTATCCTCTGGGATATAACATTGTGTAGCATGTTGTCATATCAGAAAAGATAGAACTCTTCAATTTGACAGTGGGTTTTCTCTGAGTACTTTGGTTTCTTCTGCCAATTTTCAACCAATTTCTCCATATCCATAAATCATCCTATCATTGATGCTATATGGTCATGATACCGATATCATCATTAAATAACAAAAAAACAACTATACAGTTTCCATAACTGTACCAACTGCCCTACCATGCATGTCTTTAAGTACTGTATTGACAAGTGAGTTACCAAATCATGGTCACTTCCTTCAGGGAAATGCTGGGCTAGTAGCTCTTTCTTCCATATCTTTTCCCATTTGTTATTCACAAACCACCCTCTCACTTCACACTATATAATCTGGGATACTGAAAGCACCACTAAAGAAACCAATGAAGGGGAGCTATACCTTTCTTCCATGAGGTCTGAGACCGAAGAGCAAATTGGTCAACCTCTTCTCGAGGGATACTGTATTTTTCAGCCAGGTTCTCTGCTGTTAGTCCCATAGGAGTCTTGCAGTAGGTGTCAGTGAGGCCAACCCACAGTGAATCTTCCAGTTGCAGTGGTGTGCCAAGGCTTGTTCCAAACCTTGTGTCTCGTACCACAAAGGGAGACTGACTCATGTTTTCTGTGCCACCAGTCAGCACCACACTTGAGTCTCCTACTAAAATGTTCTGCAAGAGAAAGTATACAAGTCAAGACTATGGAAACCCAGTGAAGAATAAACACATAATGTAGAAAAACTGTCTTTGAGGGTGATTAGCAGGGTATGTAACAGTGTCAAAACCTGAAGAATAAATAACACTAGGAAGGCCTCTGTAGGGTAATATTATAGTGGGTCTTAAAGCAAAAGGATTGAAGGATACGGACTGGATTCATCTGGCTCAGTATAGGGGCCAATGGCAGCTTGAAACTCAGGTTCCATATAACGCTGGGGAATTTTTGAGTAGCTTCTGAAGATGGGATTAGCTACATGTAGTTAATTCATTAGCTTTATTAATAAAGAAATTCCCTGTTAATGGAACCTGAAGGTTCACCACTGTGATCACAAAAACCAAACACTGGACCCCGTTCCAAGCTAATTCAGTCGAAATGATATCTGAGGCCTCACGGCAGTGAATATTAATATTACGGTCTTGTGGGTTGTCACCTTATAGTTTGGCAGACATGTGTCAATGTTCTGGAGGAGTACGCTGCATCCTTCCTCCTCATAATTTAACTCTTAATTTTATTTTTTGCAGCATATAGAGAAAAGGGATTACACACCATAGTAAAGGGATATATGGAGACAGCCTATTGTCTGGAAACTGCACAACTCTTTGTGTCATGGGGGCAGTTTGAATCAACCAATTTTTTTTTATGTAGTTCCCAGTGCAGGTTCTGACTTCAGTAATTGACATTTATTTGTAAATGTAAAGTTTTCATGACAGTGAACATTCATACTGTGGTCTTCTCAGTTGTGGCACTGTTGTACTCCGGCAGGTGGGTACCACACCACCCTGAAATTGGAGGCAGTATGTTTCTCTGAAATGCTGGTACCTACTTACTGAACTACAACATAGTGTCATAACCCAGAAGACCACATACAATATGAATTGTATCTGAGGAATAACCGTATATGATGTAGACTCGCAGAACAGGCATTGGGTGACCCTGATTAAGGACTTTACAGTTCTTGCATTTACTTACCTGTGCCCCACTGACTACAGCTTGGAAGCCTGAACCACACAGTCTGTTCACAGCGACAGCTGGACGCTCAATGGGTATGCCTGCACGCAGTGCAGCGTGTCGTGCCATGAATGCACCATCTGAGGATGAATACTGAAAATTGACACAAAGACAGTTCAGAACAAGTGTATTAAATAAATATTAATGACTGTTAAATTTTATGCTATTTGCACCAGTTTCTCTTAAGTGACCATAAATGACAGCAAGAATATATGATCACATTTTCAAACAGATTTTATGTATTATGTTCTTTGTGTATTTTCTCTTATCTTTTTTTTCTGCATTTGTTCACATATTCTGTATTAATGTATATTTCTGCCTTCAGTGCTTGCCTATACTAGAAGACAGTCAGATAAATGTTATCTTTGTAAAGGCAAAGTTGTCCCTCTTCTTAACTAATTAAGCACTATGCCGTGAAGGTGTATGGGGGAGTGGATGTATAGATCCACATTTTCTTGACCTCAGCACTAGTTGGAGGTGAATGGTCAGCTTCACGGCCTGGCCGCTTTGCCCCTGGGGAAAGAGCCCTCTGGTACCCATTGGATAGGTGGCTGGGTGGGCCCTAGAGCCAGTGTGAATGATGTCGAGAAAAGAAAATTCTTGACCCCACTAGGACTTGAACTACAACCCCTTGGTCGTCCAGCCTGTAGCCAGTCGATATATCGCCACGCTATCACTTGAAATGGATCTGAAAGAAATAATGATAAAGGATGTGCACTGGATTCATTTGGCCTAGGATGTTTTCTTCATACCAATCCAAAATATAGTCTTTTCCCTAAACCTTTGTAAAGACTGTTCAATAGAGTTGACCTCAGAATAATAATTTTTAGTAAATGGTAAAGTTGTCCCTGTGCTTACCTAATTAAGCGCTATGCCATGAAGACATATGGGGGAGTGGGTGCATAGATTCACATTTTCTTGACTTCAGCATTAGTTGGATGTGAGTGGTCAGCTTCACAACCCAGCTGCTTAACCCCTGGCACCCACTGCATAAGAGACTGGGTGGGCCCCAGAGCCAGTCTGGATGACATGGATAAGAGAAAATTCTTGACCCAGACGGGACTCGAACTCCGACCCCTTGGTAGTCCAGCCCATAACCAGTCACTATACTGACTGAGCTATCCTGGTTCTCATTAATTTTTAGTATGTTTAATTATTTTCTATGAGCTGATGCATGGTTTCTTAAACTGTGGCTCATTACTGTCCAACTTCTGGTACAAAACCTACATAATTTGTTGGAAGTATTCCTAAGAGACACAATAAAGAATAACAGTTAACAAAACTACAAGTATGAGATATCAGTTCTCATGTGATGTGATGCCATTACTACCAGTATCCTACATATTTTGTTAGGCAGTTGGCAGCAATGTGTGAGGGCCAATATTCAGAGGTAGCACAGCACTTTACTTACTGCATTAACATTGCCAATGACGACAGAGTCAATGTGTTCAGGCTTCAGTCCAGCAGCTGTTATGGCTGCTTTATTTGCAACCTCTTGCAGATCTGTTATACTTTTCTTCAGGAACTTTCCACCATAAGTTCCAAATGGTGTTCGCTTGGCAGCTACAATGAAAACTCCTGCAATGGGAAATGTCACAAAACTAGTTTGTCAGTAAACATGATTACAATTTTGGACACTGTCTACCATGTTGAACTTTTTCAAACAAAACATCTTTGAAAGTGTATCTATTTCTGTTGTTTGGTGTAAAAGAGGACGGTTCTTACACCACTGAGCCTATTAGAGCTAGCTTAGATCACTGGACACAGTGATGTAGAAACAGCTATTACTAAGGAACATTTCACATGTCAGATTATAGGAACAATGCCATCTCACTAAATTTTGATAAAACCCATTACATACCATTCTTAACTAAAAACAGCCACCAAATTGATCTGGTCATCAGTTATGCCAACAAATTAATCTGTGAAGCACCTGATACAAAATTCCTTGGAATATATGTAGACAGTACACTGTCTTGGAAAATACATATTCATATTCATATTTATATTTATTTGCATTCATACTGTTATAGAACAAACTATACCTAAATTAAGTGCAGCTTGCTATGCAATGAGATCGATTAAGCCCTTTATGCCACAGGAAATACTGAAGATGGTTTACCATGCCTACTTTCATTTTATTATGAACTATGGATT